GAAATCGGTTGACCGAAAGGAATTTTCGGTCGACCAAAAAACACTTCGGTCGACCGACCGAAAATTCGGTCGACCGCAAACACTTAAGAAAACTTAGAAAACGAGCAGAGCCACCGTCGGTCGACCGGCGCGGTCGACCGATTTGAAAGTCGAGATTTCGGTCGATCGTACCGGTCGACCGACGACCTCTCTGGAAAATAGTAAGGAAGTCGACCGCTTTCTGACATTTTGTAGAAAAACAGTTTTTGACCAACTTTAAATATTTGCAAAATATTTATTTGACCTCTGAAAAATCTGAAACTTTGTAAAATATTTTTAATACTAAAAACAAACTGTTTAGAAAAGGAATTTTGCAGATAGGTCCTCATACTTATGAAAAATAGTATTTTGTGAAAAACGCTTAAAAACCTAAGTATGAAATCGTGTGTGTGATTCCCAATAGCTTCAAGTAAAATCAGTAACTCTTTGCCTACATTCTAGCACTAGAGAGGGAAACAAAAGAAAGCTAATATCCTTATATAGAGAGCAATACTTGAGCTTTGATATAGCTTGAATTGGATGAAGCTTTTAGTCGAATTTGTCGTTCTTGAAATAACGTTGCTTCATCTCTTGGCCTCCTCCTCCTTTGGATATCTTCGTTGTAGCGTATATTCCATCCATCCTCCGTTAATGGCACTAATGAGCTTGATAAATGAATTTACTACATTTACACTCAATAAGCCATTAGTACCGATAATGGTGGTTGTAAGAACATCATCAAAACATAAGGGCTAACAATCTCCCCCTTTTTTATGATGACAACCAACCATTATATAAGAGCAAAAATAAAATAGCTAAAATAGCTTATAGATAGGTGCTCCCCCTATCTATGAGCTCCCCCTAAATATATGCAACAAATGAGGAGATTTCTCTCCCCCTTTGTCACCATCAAAAATGGGGAAAGAAATGCAAAATGCAAGATGCAACTAAACAAGCAAGCAATGTAGAACTTTCACATAGTGCATAAGCCCAAACCATTTCTTATGCGACAAAAATCATCCTCTCCAAGAGGCTTAGTAAATATATCCGCTAGTTGAGATTTGGTGTCAACAAATACTAGGGATACATCTTGTCTCTCTACATGATCGCGTAAGAAATGATGGCGCACGTCAATATGCTTAGTTCTAGAATGCAAAACCGAATTTTTGGAAATATTTATGGCACTTGTGTTATCACAAAAGATTTTAATATTTTGAAAATTCAAATCATAGTCAACTAAACTTTGTTTCATCCATAAAACTTGAGCACAACATAAGCCGGCGGCAATGTATTCCGCTTCCGTAGTGGACAATGCAACACAATTTTGTTTCTTGGAAGCCCAAGAAACAAGGGAATTTCCTAAGAATTGGCATGTTCCACTAGTACTCTTGCGATCTACCTTACATCCGGCAAAGTCGGCATCACAAAAACCATATAAATCAAAAGAAGTGCTTCTTGGATAAAATAAACCAAGGTTAAAAGTTCCATTAACATACTTAATGATCCTTTTAACCGCAATTAAATGAGATGCTTTAGGAGAGGCTTGAAAACGTGCACAAGCACATACACTAAACATGATGTCGGGTCTACTAGCGGTGAGATAAAGAAGACTACCTATCATACCTCGGTATAGTTTTTGGTCCACATCTTCACCACTCTCATCCGCATCAAGCTTAACACTAGTACTCATGGGAGTAGGCGCATGCTTAGAATTCTCCAACTTGAATTTCTTCACCAATTCCTTCGCATACTTGCTTTGTGAAATGAAGATCCCATCCTTAGTTTGCTTGACTTGGAGCCCGAGAAAGAATGTAAGCTCTCCCATCATACTCATCTCAAAGTGATCCTGCATAACTTTAGAAAATTCCTTGCACAAGGATTCATTAGTAGCACCAAAAATAATGTCATCCACATATATTTGAACTAAAATGAAATCATTTTTCCTTTTTCTCACAAAAAGTGTGTTATCAATTGTTCCTTTTGAAAAACCATTTTCAATAAGAAAACTAGAGAGGCGAGCATACCAAGCCCTAGGAGCTTGTTTCAACCCATATAAAGCTTTTTGTACCCGGTAAACATGATTAGGAAAAGCATGATCTATAAAACCGGGGGGTTGCTCAACATACACTTCCTCTTCTATAAAACCATTTAAGAAAGCACTTTTGACATCCATTTGAAATAGTTTGAAATTTTTAAAACTAGCAAATGCCAAAAACATCCTAATAGATTCCAACCTTGCAACCGGTGCAAAGGTTTCATCATAGTCTATGCCCTCCTCTTGATTGTATCCTTGGGCAACCAAACGTGCTTTATTTCTAGTTACAATGCCATGTTCATCAAGTTTGTTTCTAAAAACCCATTTTGTACCAATAACACTAGCATTGTTAGGTCTAGGAACTAACTTCCAAACTTCATTTCTTTGAAAATTGTTTAATTCTTCATGCATAGCCAAAACCCAAAACTCATCATTTAAAGCATCATTAACCTTTTTAGGTTCTAGTTATCAAGCTTGGGTATATTTAGTATAGGTTTATATTATGTGTGTTAGATACTCTAAGCTCAATATCTTATACACACACATTTATTGGTTTCTTCGTATATATATATATAGTTATATATATATACATAAGTTTTGGTTTCTATGCATATATATAGTTATATATATACATACATGTGTTTTGAGTTTTTATGATTATATATATGAAATTATATATTTCATATTTTCTATTGTGTTTTTGAAAACATTGCATAGAATATGCAATTTTGTGAAAATATTGTATTCTTAGTTTATAGACTTCAATATCAGTTTATACATGTTTTACTAAGTCTATAAAAACATTTCACAAAGTTTCAAAAGTTGGTTTATGTCAAAACATCAAAATTCAAGTATATCATATTTTCATGTTTTGGACTATTTTGTAAAATGATGATATTTTTTATTTGGGAGGTCCTTTCTGATAACCAGTCACTGTAGCATGTTTATTATCATGTCTACAATCATTCCCCAAAGTTTTACATTTTTTGGAATTTATTTGATATTTTTAAACAGTGTTTTAAATCAGCATATCAGTTTTCTGCTGTGTCAGTTTTCGGTCGACCGCATCGACCGGTCCGGTCGACCGAAAGCTCCATCGGTCGACCGCACCGGTCGACCGACGATTGTCCAGAGCTGATCTTCGTGTTTTTGCTCTCCATCGATCGACCGACAGAATTTCCGGTCGACCGACAATAGATCCGTTGCTTTTTTCAATGGCTATTTTCTGAGCTGTTTGCTAGGGCTGTTTTGTCTTTTGTTAAGGGTTTTGACTGAGAGTTAGAGTGGGTATAAATACCCTATTGCTGCTCTCTTTCAAAGCAAGCCAAGAAGTTTTTAAACAAGGGTTTTAAAAAGAGTTTAAGCTTGTTTAAGCTTGTTTAAGGGTTTGGTTTAAAGCAGTTTTAGCTTTCACAAGTGGAGGAGATTATCTTATTGTTTGGGCCTCAAATCCCCATCTCTCCATCTTGATATAGAGAAGTTTTCCTAAACTCAACTCTAGCTTTTACTTATAATTATTTGTTAATTATCATTTCTATTAAAGCTAGTTTTATATTGAGTTTAGATTTAATTTTATATCACTCATTGTTACACACACCCACATTGAGCTTTTAGTATTTATATACATAGTATAGTTGGGTGGTGAGAGATTATAACTTTGAGTTGTGCTTTCATTGCGTTCTCATCCATAGTTGAGAACAATCATTTGTTATATTGTGCTTATTGTGAAATTCACTTTGTAATACACTTGTACACCAAGTGAGGAGTGTGTGGTGAGAGTCGGGGATCGTCCCAAGAGGAGTGGCGTCGGTTGACGAGCCTAGGGAGAGGTTGTAACCGAGCACTTGAGGGAGACACGGCTAGGTCCAACACTTAGTGGGTGTAGAGTGTGATTGCAAGAGTGTGAGTTGTAGAGTTTTCGGTTAGCTAGAAAACCGAGTGTGTAGAAGAAGTTCCAGCTTCCAAACCGGATTGTGTTAGTGGATTTCTCCCCGGGAGTGGGGAGCGGAGACGTAGGACGGAAGGTCCGAACTGGAGATACAGCTAGGTCCAACACTTAGTGGGTGTAGAGTGGGATTACAATAGTGTGTTGATTGTAAAGTTTTCGGTTAGCTAGAAAACCGAGTGTGATGTGTAAATGTTGTTCGGGTGAGCGTAGAAAACCCGGTTGATAGTGGATTTCTCCCCGGGAATGGGGAGCGGAGACGTAGGACGGAAGGTCCGAACTCCGTGATCATATTGCTTGTTTGAGTTTGTCTTTGGCGTATTTGTTTTTGCATTCATCTTATATCGCCAATTGTGCATTGCTTATTTATTTCATCCACTATCTTGTTTAGATTATCTACCCTTGTATTGTTTATATATCATTGCACATACATTGCCTATATCTCATTATTAGGATATATCTTGTTGTTCATATTGCTTATCCTAGCTCATATATATTGTTGTATTTCATACTTGCTAGGATAACTTGTTAATTAATTTTAATTGGAATATAATCGGATTAGATTAGCATAAGACCCTAATCACCCCCCCAGGGTCTAATAACTTCTAGACTTGAACCGGCTCGAGAATACAGTCAAAGAAGTTCAAAACAAAACCATACAAATATCAACTAAGATCATAATACAAGGAAGATCTTATTACCCTTTTGTTAAAACAAATCATCCCTCAAAGAATATAAGCATATCTCGATGAAGAACAACGAAGAAGATCAGTCCAAGAGAACTCTCCTCGCTAAAATAATTTGGAGATGTTGTGCATGATGAGTGAGAGTTTGACGAGGTTGCGGGGGTCAAAATCTTTAGCTTGATCTCTCACAAATCAAACCCTCAAGGGCTCTCTCTCTCTCTCTCTCTCTCTCTCTCTCTCTCTCTCTCTCTCAATTATATAGACTCCTCAATAGGTCAGGAAAAGAGAATCTTAAACGTGGTAGAGATTAGAAATATTATAAACAACGAACAATTGAGATTAAATCTAAAAATCTGCTATCTGCCATATTACCCATCGATGCTGCCTCTCGACCATTGATGGTGTCGAGGCTCCGTCGATGGTTGAGAAGTCCATTGATATAAAAAACTCTGGAGTAAAAATCATCGATGAACACATGTTGATCATCAATGAGCTCTTGTCACCATTGATGGTCAGCGGCTACTATCGATTGTCAACTATCAAGGGTAGAAGGCTGAAATCAGCTTGAAATCAGCTTTTGAGTTGATTTTTTTTGTTGGTTTGCCTCATACACTTCCTAAACCTATATTTACCTGTACTACATCTCAAATCAGCGTTAGTACAAAATGAGGGTTTATTATTATTCACATAAAAGATATTGTATGAAGAGATCGTGAAGAAAAAGCAAAAGAAAAAGAAAAAAAAATGCCAAGCTTTAAGCTTTTTCTTTTACCATTCTTGATTCTCCTGGGTACTGAAAACCTTGCCTTGGCTCAGGGTGAAGCTTAGGTTCTCCATCTGCAGTCTAAAGTGGAAGCTTTTTAGAATCTCGAGGCCCCATGCAACAGCACCCGTGATACGTTTGCTCTGCGCACCAACTGTTTGTTTCTTTGCCTCTTTAATTTCTAGAAGCCATTTGCTAATTTTGGATGACGAGAATACAGTGATCATATCACTTGAAATTTTTAGAAAAAGCCATCAGCTGTTCAATTGATTCGTTTTGTTCTCTTGAAGGATCATCAACTTTGTCTTTTGGGTTTGATTATATAACTATCATGACAGTGTATTTTGTTACTCAATCCACACTGAAACTATTTGTGTACTAGAAGTTCAAATGATGAAGCTCTATGAAGACATCTTAATGAAGAAGATCTTGCAGATCCATTTGCCAGATAAATGCCATATCGATTCTCGCCCATTGCTCCGTCTTGCTGAAGAGATTGTGCATTGCATTACAACCAAAGATGTACCAATTCCTTATCCCGTTAATTTTTCTTTTTGCTTATTGATTAAACTGTTTTGTTATCGTTGGCTGTTATCACTCACACATACCTGTAGGAAAGAAAATTATCGGATGGTATAGGAGAAGTTTGGCCAGACAAGCATAAAGAATTGGCATACTTGATCCATCTCATATCAAGTGAGGTATTGGAATATGACGTAACAACTCAAAACTTCTTTATTGTCATTGATCGGCAAATTTTCTTATGACTGTAATTTCAAATGACAGATACTGCGAGATAAAGGTAGAGATCATTCTTCACATATAACAACCATGTCTGTGTTAGAGCTATTGGGAAATCAATCATGGGGTACAAAAGTTATCATCGTCCTGTCTGCATTGGCAACTTGCTATGCGGAGCTCTGGCTTATATTGAAGCATTCTTCTACAAACCCTCTGGCCTTATCAGTAGCGAGACTGAGAGGAGTGAATAGTTTAGGCACCATGGAATCATTTGAATGTCGATTTAAGGCCCTCAGATATCTGTTTGAGGGAATGGTTGATGTGGCGAAATGCATAACTGAGTTTGAAATTCTCCCGGAGCAGTACATAATGCTTGATTTCGAGGCAATGGCGGCAGTGAAGCCTCATATCCACATGGCTTCTTATTGGGTAATTAGAAGTTCAGTGACATGTGCTCGTCAAATTACTGGGATGATCTCATTGAACTCAGAGAAAATGCATGTGCTTTCTCTTATCTTATATTCAGTTTCCTAAGTTCTCTTTTGTCTGTTCACATGATAAGAGATCGGTACCTTATACTGAGATTACATGATGGATTATTGCTTTTAGGGTTAATTGCGGACCCCCTGTACTATCACTCAATTGCTGATAAACCCTTGTACTATCACTCAATTGCTGATAAACCCTCTGTAGTAGATAGACACCCTCTGTAGTAGATAGACACCACCCCAACCCACCTCCCAA